ATGTGATTGCAAATAAAAAAATATTCGGATGAAATCAAAAGATTTCTTTCAAAGATTTTTTAATTAATTAAATTAATAATACGCAACTCTTCAAACTCTTTATATAGCGCTACTCGCGTTGCTTGATAAGACGTAAAATCACGCATACAAGCCAAAACCCTTTCTCGTGTTGTCTGTGAAGAGGTTGTTGATGTAGTCGTAGTAGAAACCATTTTACCGTTACCGTTACTATTGCTGTAACAGGATTTAATTGTTTGTATGACTAGAATGCTAATACGTAAGTCATCTGGTTTCTCAATCCATGTGATACGAAGTATTCTCGTTCTATATATCGCTATTGATTTATTTCTTTCTAGAATTAGAATGTCTCAAAAAGAATTGTTATTCTTTTTCGGTCTGTCGTATTTCACCTTATGATCGTTCCAAACTAGAAAGATTCATTGATAATATGTTGATAAGAGACAGGAAAAATGAAAACAATTGCAAGAACGATAAAAAGAATTTATACAATACGGAATTAGCATTTGATAGATACCCAGCCAGAGCCAAAGCAGGTCAACTTGGAAATTCTTAAACGTATGGCGCGATACGCAAATATTCCTTATCGCAGACCTCAAGCTAATGGTGGAAAAAATGTATTACATGTTGGTATGGTTTAAAATAATCAAGTTTTATATTTCTTACATTATTTACTGATTGATATTTTTTATATGTGTAATTTTTAAAAGCCGATGTTTTCATAGAACATGACCATGCACGGTTATGGTTGATTTCAGGTGTAATCAGAGATTAAAAAGATGCTATATACCCAGATTATTTAAGATCTATCGCTATTAAATGGTCTTGAATGGCTCAACGAGTTTGATAGACAAATTCGGAGTTGGTGGTGGTAAATTCATTACTCTTTAAAGAAAGATTTTATTTTCGTTTTCTTTATTAAATCTTAACTTACGGTTTACGGTCCGTCTCACATCCAATATTATATTTTATGCAGTTTTTGCTGCACTTGAAATCCAGATAACTGGTGTCGCATAATAATATTCAGCCAACCCGAATCTTATTCACATCTATCAATACGGTACTTTCTCCAGTATATCGTGTCATACACACAAACGATTATGTGCAGATAAACGCGATACGAGGGAAATTACCAACACCATGAAACAAGCTCATTGGATTGCACGCAATGTTAATTTCATTGATAATTATGAATGTTTGATGTGTCCTGGCCTGGTGATCGTTATTTGCTTTATGCTCATTATGCGGAAATGTACTGCATTTTGTGCAACTTTGGTTTATACGTACATGCACGTACCTGGCCTAGCATCATGCGTACATTTACATCAAAACTCAATAACGATAACGATAAAATTGTTTTGTTTAACAAACATATTACGTATATAAATCGATGGATGAAATATTCTATATATTGAATAAAAGAGAAATAATGCAAGAAATAACAATTCTCTTCAACGAAAAATCTTCATGTGTAAATGATGATCGAGAGATTTGCAAACACATTCAAGAATGGATTTCACTCAAAAAATATTGTTCATCAGAAATAATGAAACTAGTTCAAGAGGATCTAGAAATTCCGCTCAAATCAAATATTCTTGCTGTCTTTTATAAATACGGAATAGGCACCAGCCTGGACTACGAAAGAGCTCGTTTTTGCTATGAAGAATCAGTATCTTGTGGTGATTTATTTGGGACCGTGATGTTGGGACTATTTTATGAGGAAAATGTTGTCGGGATTAAAAGTAACAAGAAAGCATTAGAGCTATATCAACAAGCCGCAGATGCCTGTTTCCCGCTTGGATTGTATCGTCTCGGAAAATTTTATGAGAATTTTAATGGCGGATATGAAAAATCGGTGGTGTTTTATGAAAAGGCGGTCGAATATGGGTTTCCGGCTGAGATTTATATTTCTGATTATTATTTTAATGCTTCTTTGAATTGGTCTTATGGTTGTCGAAAAGCATTTATTTGGGGAAAACGGGCGGCTGTTAAAGGAAATATGATCGGACAACATTATTTAGGATCTGATTATTTAGACGGAAATGGTACAGAGATCGATATTCATAATGGTATTAAATGGTTATGTAAAGCTTATAAAAGTGGATATATGGCAGCTGAGCTGGGTCTTTGTCGGGTTTTTAGAAAATCATATTATTAGTCGAATCAATCCTTCCCATTAAGTGAATTCAACAGTTAAAGTTCGATAAACCGAAGGCCTCGGGTTATTAAAAAGTAAACTTCGTTTAACGTTATATAAAGTACTATTTATATTATTCTTCGTTATATCAAGCTCTTTGTTAATAGGTTGGTTCCTGAAAATTCTTCGTTTAACGTGAGTTCGCTTTATCGAACTTTAACTGTATAAATAAACATACTGATCATTTTTTAATTAATAAAATTTTGAGATATTGCATTTCAAAGTTTTTTTTTACATATAAAATGCGGGAGATAAAATACTGATTACATAGCGCAAAATTAAGATTTTGTAATTTGCTTGGTTTCTATTGACTCACCCCCCCCCCCCATGTATTTAAAATACATGTACTAACGCTAAGTAAGTTGTTGCATTACGTACTTTGTTATACATGATGGATTTGATCTGATCATAATCACGTGACGTGCACTTATGGAAGGACACGGGCTGAGAGAGATGTGACGTGCACTGGAAAGCAATGACGGTTTGAATTTTTTTCTGGATGCACTTGCTGAGTAGGAGTGCTAACATTTTCTCAGGTCCAGGGTAGCTACCCCCTCATATTGATATCTGGGTAGCTACTTAGTTATGTCTATGACTTAAGTTCTAATGTCTGCACTCCTACTGCTGAGACACCGCTAAAACACTTCAAGTCACCTACAGATTCGTGCTGAGTTGTGCTACATTTTTTATGATTTTTCTGCTAGTGTTTTTATATAGTTCGAATTTCAATTATATAAAGAATATTTGGGCATTTCTCAAGTGAAACATGGAAAAGAGGATTAAGATAATGATATCACAAAAGCAGAATATTTTATAAAATGTTTTTGTTGGAGTATATTTCTGGAGGGATAGTTCTTAGATGCATAATCAGTATGCAAAATCGCATTCAAACCTGCATTGATGCAGACAGTGAGCATATATTTTAGGGGTATAAAGTCCTACATTTATGCATTCTGGAAATAAATTTTTATACAGTGAGTGCTCGTTACAGTAACACTCTTTCGATAGAGTAACATCTCGATATAATAACACAAAATCTCTTCCCTCGATCACGTAATTGTATCCAGCGCCCACTATATATGGTTATTTTTAAAAAAAACTGTCCACCATTACTTTCCGTGCAGACTGTAATTGTAACTTATGTAATAGCCTTCTTATTGCAAATGACTTCACATATGATGGTGGGGTATCAATATGTGAACGTGGCTATTGCTGGAGATATCTTGCACATTTGAAAAGACTAACGTTTATTTATACAGCTTCAATTTGCATTAAAATGATGTATTTTTGTATAACTATAAGATAAATCAGAAACATGTAGGGCAAATGATAAATTGAAAATAAATTAAAGCTGTATAAACATCAGTCATTTTTTTTATAACGATAAGGACTGGAACGGATAGAGATTTGGAGGAAGAAAAGGATTAAATTGATAGCATTAGATATGAGAAGAGAATTAATAAATGTTTCTAACTGGCAATGTAAATGATTATGTTAGTGTCATATTGATATTCATCCATAGAATTTAAGCTTCGGCAATTTGGATATTGATATTTGATACGTAGTCTCCACTACCAATAGAATGTCGATATGCATAGTTCAGCACAATTGACAAACACATGTACGTCTATCAAACTTTATTGACCATATTATGGATTACGTCTATCAAACACACAACAACTTTATTGACCATATTATGGATAACGGGATAATCGAAAATGATCAGCACAACACAACAATTTTTTTTGATTTATAAGAGCAATCAGTAGCAAATGAGTAAAAATAACATTATATGCTTCTTTTCTTTCTTATAAGTGTCTTACAACATAAATTGTTTCAAAAGAATCAACTTAACTTATCTAACGATACACGCCTATCGTACGAATATCAGATAAGAACATAAATATCATAGCAGGGAGTCAATTGTCTTTGAGTCCGAAATGCAATACGCGACAGCAAAAGTTTCGAATGATCTAACCATTGATATCCCCCTGCCAACACTCAAAGTACTCCTGGAAATTAAAAAGAACAGTTTATCTCTGGAAACCTCTTTGGTTAACAATCAAATCAATAAAAGCGCATTTGGGTTGTTTCTACTTGCATTTGAGAACGAAGTTTATAAACAAACAAGATTGTCTGCAAAATTGTGGGGTAAATTTGCAGCGGCTGGAAGAGAAACTTGGATAAATGCAAATGAGGAATATCGAGGTGCTTTTGATAAATTGGTTATTGAACTAAATTCTCATGATGAATAGTTTTTAAAATAGCCAACACTTTGGGAAATCTAGAATTTAGATCTAACAAATAATTTTACGTTTTTGTGGTAAACTGTTAAGAGAAATCTAAGCCAATATTGTTTATTTAATTATATTTTATCATATAAGCCAATAAGATTTTTTGATTCAATATTAGAATTCCACCTTTTCTATTGAATAACTGTATCGAAGAAAGAGTCCCGCACTTCCACCTTTCCTAATTTAGCGCAGGCAAATACTTCCTCACCCGAATTTTATTCATGAACCAAAATTTTTGTAACACAAATTGCCTCTCGTAAATTACAGTATTCTATAAAAAGCGCGCCAAATAATAATTTAATGAACTGTGCAACAAGAAGTCATGATATCTAAATTTTTATCAGTCAATAACGATAACGATTGGTATGATTTAGGAACATACGTACGTACGTAGTAGGAACAATCCATTTCTCCACGATCAGATCCGAAGTAAAAGTGCAACCACATTTTATAAACCTTCTCTTGCAAGCTATTCAACCTCGGTAAACTTTCAGAGGGATCCATTTTAAAGTTATCTTGATTTTCGCACATTCTTTTATTAGACTGTCAATATCTTTATTTTTGCTAGACTGTTCAGCTTTATAAATTTAAAGGTGATAATTATAACATTTTATGCAGTAGTAGTTTTCTTGACAATAGTATAACAACAATTTGAACATTTGTCACAGTTGTGATTTAACATTTTCTGCAGTAATAATTTTCTTGACAATTGAAACATTCACTATAATCGAAATATTAGATTCTATTACTTTATAAAATTTTTAGTGATTATGTCCTGTGTTTTATATATTAATATGGAAAAAATTTACTTTTTAAATCAAACGAAACAATGAAAAAATTTATTATTCACAGAACTTCTATCTCTCATTTGTGTGTTAACGTTGGAGTAGACATTTATCAGGTGATTTTTTTAGTTTTAATGAACAGAAAATCAACTTGATTAATGTCTCTACCCTTATACATATTACGTGTAAGAATTTATACAAATGATGATGCAGGGTGAAAGACATGACACATTGCTAGATGACAGGTATTGATGTATTAACTACGTAGAGAATCGCTGCTTTTAAAATCCTATATTAAAGAAGTACATTAAAAAGAAAAAGATATTTTATTTCTAATTAAAAATTGCATACACATAATTCACAGCTACAAATCATCTGCTACTTTACTCAGCCAATAAAGTTTTATGTTTATCCCTTAAAGTGCCAAAGCCTCGGTTATACACATTAGCAAGCTCTAATGTAGCGCGAAGATGTCCACGTTCCGCCGCCTTATGCAAAAGAGAATACTAATTTAATTCACTCTTTTTAATACCATGTCCATAATGATAATGGCATGATTTTATTTATGAATTTTGAATGAGAAATTGGTTACAATGTCAAGTTTTAATATTATAAATGCTTATAAGAAATAGAAACTTGTGAATATTTTTTTTATTATAAGATATTCATTTGTGTACAAAATGTTATATAATTTTACTATATTATAAATTTTGACTTGGTGAATAAGTTTAATTATCATATGAAA